TATGAGGGAGAACATGCGATTTTTGACCTTCTGAGCCTGACCAACTTTGCTTCAGATAATGTTCTCTACTTCCATCCATTTAGTTGCGAATGACAAAATTTTATTCTTTGTGGCTGAATAAAATTCCATTGTGTATAAATACCACATTTTCTTAATCCATTTGTCAGCAGTGGAGCATCTTGGCTGTTTCCATAACTTGGCTATTGTGAATAGCACTGCAATAAACATGGGTGTGAAGGTACCTCTGAAGTAACGTGTGTTGCATTCCTTTGGGTATATCCCCAAGACTGGGATTACTGGATCATATAGCAGATCTATGTTTAGATTTTTAAGAAGCCTCCATATTTTTTTCCAAAGTGGTTGCACTAGTTTGCATTCCCACCAGCAGTATACAAGGGTTCTTTTTTCTCCACATCCTCACCATCACCTGTTTTTGGTGATGTTTTTGTTCTTAATAATAGATATTCTCACAGGAGTGAGGTGGAATCTTAATGTGGTTTTGATTTGCATTTGCTTTATGGCCAAGGATGGTGAACATCCATCCTTGGATGATTTTTTGATTGTACCTATCAGCCGGGAAAATACCAGTGTGGCACAGCCAATAGGGTGTGTCTGCCCTGGGAAAAAGCTCCCTAACCAGTTCTCTCCTTTTCTTTTTCTTCTTTCTTTTTGCAAAAAGCAGAAGATAGAGCATCAAATAGATCCTAGCCCTGCTACATCCTGGACCCCTAACCTGTGGAAAGACTATCTTCACCCTGCCAGGCTGAACCCAGTCCCAATAAGTGTCTGCCATGAGAAAAGCAGCACACCATTTCTCCCCACCAGCTAGTTTTGGCGCTGCCTGCATAAATCTGCAGACCCAACAGATAAGCAATACACAATACATGTGACTCCCCCACCCACCCCTAGGGAACATAATCCAGTGCAGCCCCTGAGGCAGATTGAACCCTTCCCCCTGAACAAAACTAAGAACATAACTGGTGAATTGTAATCTACCACCAATAGTGAGGGTGGGGTTTAACACTGAACCAATCTCAGAGAACAGGAATGGGGCAAGGAGCTGAACTCTCAGCAAGGGAAGGTGGGGCAAGGAACAAGCCCTGAGAGCAGGGGTGGTGCAACAAGACAACCTAACAAAGGAGAAGCCAAACTCTCAGTAAGTGGAGTGTGGCAGATCGCTGAGCTAGTCCCATGGTACTAAGGGTGGTACTCAAAACTGAATTGCCCCACCTTGCTGGGGGAGGTGCTGAACAGAGAATTTCAGCCATAGGGCAATTCAGCTGCTGCCTAGCAAAAACAACAGATCAGGCCACCTTGCACAAACTGATAGTAAGGTAATACAGACCCAATTGCAACCCACCCTGTGGACAGAAGGAACAAAATAGTGCTCACAAGCCAGCCATCTGGTAAGACCACTTCAGAACTCCCACTTGTAATAGACAGCCAATAAGACCAAGAAAAGAATACAAAAAAAAAAAAGAAGAAACCTCCAGCCATCTTCCTTGCAAGCTGTCCAATAAGAGGGTCATCACCCTTGCCCACACAAACCCCAGAATACCAGTGCCAATATTAGGATTGGATTCCAAAGGAATAAGTCCAGAACTTTTGCCAAGCAGACTAAACTTTTTGTTGTACCTAGTATCATTTGGGTTTTTTCTTTTGTATTATTAATTTTACCATTACTGTCTTCTTATCCCTATTCTCACCCCCTTTACTTTTTCCCCTTTTCTTGTACTGTTCTCTCCTACTATTCTTTCTGCCTCTTGTCAACCACTCTCTCCCCCCATCTTTGCTTCTTCCTCCTAGCCTCCCCCAACCTGTCACCACATTACCCCTCCCTCCTACACATTCAGCACCTGCTCACTAGCCTTCTGTACCAACCATACACAACCCCAGCCCTCTGAAATCCCTGACACAAGCACCTTCCACCACAATAGCAGAACTATACCCAAAACACACACAAGGTACCCAAAACCCAGAAGCTCCCATACCTCTTTCCCCATGCTCCCTGCTCCCCTTCTGACCCGCCTTTTAGCACCACCTTTACCAATTACCCAAGTTTCAATCTCTAGGCAAAAACCATCACCCCTCCGACTCCCTCTGTTTATAGATATTATCACCAAGGGATTTTCTATATAATATGTAAACAATTGATCTGGCATTGAACCTGTGAATTTGTTATTGCTAATTTATACCTCCAGGCCAGGGACAGAAATAGCACATCAACCTAGCTAGCAACCAAGTCAGTCACAACACTAAAATTAAATCAAGGGAAAAAAAATCAAACAATTAAAACCACCAACTAGCCTATCAAGAATATGGTTCCACAGAACCAATTAGAACGATGGGGAGAAGGAGAAGAAGACAAGGTAACAGCACTCCTCAAAAAACAATTCAATAGAGGATTTAGTGGGAAATGAAGAAAATGAATACCCAGTTCCTGACCCCAATGAAACAATGATAAATGCCACTAATGAGCTCAGTGATGACCACAAAAAAAAATCTCTCAAAGAGGAAATCATGGATGAGATCACTGAGAAATCCATGAAGAAACTACAAGACATGGTTAACCAAAAAGTATAAGATGCACACAAGAAATATTAAGACACCACAAGTAAAAAACTTGAGAAGACACAGAAACAAATAAATGAATGCACCAAAGTGATAGCAAGGAGACTTTAAAAAAGAGAGATATATTAAATAAAGAAGACAACACAAGATATAAAAGAGGAGTTGAACAAAGATTTGGAAAACCTCAGAAAAGAGAATTAAACAGAAATCCTGTAAGTAAAGAATTCCCTTTAGTCAAAAAAAAATTCAGTTGAAGGCCACTCTAGTAGACTAGAACAAGAGGAAGACAGAATCTCAGAATTCAAAGATAAAATAGATATTAAAGAAAAAACAGAAAAACTCTTAGTCAAAGAACTCAAGAGCTGTGAAACAATATGCAAGAACTCAGAGATGCCATCAAAAGACCAAACCTGAGAATCATGGGCATTGAAGAAGGAGAGGAGGGGCAAACTAAAGGGATATGTAATATATTCTACAAAATAATAGCAGAAAACCTCATAAATCTCAAGAAAGGGTTGCCCATTCACATACAGGAAGTCTCCAGGACACCAAACAGACTTGAATAAAATGGAACCTCTCCACATCATATTATCAAAGCAACTAGCACAGAGAACAGAGAAAGAATATTGAAGACTGTAAGAGAGAAAAAGCAAATAACTTATAAAGTTAAACCCATTAAAATAACAGAAACCTTAAAAGCAAGAAGTACATGGAGTGAAGTATTTCAAGAACAGAAAGAAAATAATTTCAGCCCTAGGATACTCTACCCAGCAAAACTATCATTCACAATTGATGGAGGAATTAAAGTCTTCCATAATATTCTACAAGGAATTCAGAAGATGAAAGCAAACAAAGCCATGAGAATACAGTAACCATTAAACTGCAGGAGAAGAAAAGACAAGTAATCAGGGAGTAGTAGTGATTTGGCTGCACACACTCAAATCCTTAAATAACAAAAACAGTTAAATGGCAAGAGTTACCACACACCTATCAACATTAACAATGAATGTCAGTGGACTCAACTACCTCATCAGAAGACAGCATTTGGCAAAGTGGATTAAAAAGGAAGATCCAGCAATCTGTTGTTTACAGGAGACCCATTTTATTGACAGCAACAACACTGGCTTAGGGTGAAAGACTGGAAGAAGATTTACCAAGGCAACAGCCCCTGAAAACAGGCAGGAGTACCAATACTTATATCAGACAAAGTAGACTTCAAACTGACATTAGTGAAACAAGACAAAGAAGGTCATTTCATACTAATAAAAGGGGAAATACATCAAAACAAAGTAACAGTTATCAACCTATATGCACCCAATGTCAGTGCACCCTATTTTATCAAACATACACTAAAGGACTTAAAAGCATATGTAGACTTCAACACAGGTGTAGTGGGGGGCTTTAATACCCCTCTATCACCAATAGATAGGTCATCTAAACGAAAAATCAACAAAGAAATCATAATACTAAATGACACCAAAAATGCCTCTGGATTTTAATGTGCAATATTTCTTTCACCTCCATCTCTTCTGAATTTTCTAACTCTACTCCAGCATCAGATTGTTTAAAGAAGAGAGATTTTTGGAACTAACTTTTTAAACATAGCATATTCTAAGCATAAGTGTATAGTTTCAAATGACATTCAACAAATTAAAAAACAGAACATCTGTTTTCCTGAATCCTTGGTCTGTGAGGAAAGTAGGGGTGGCAAAGTCTCTCACTGACTGAGCTGACTTGTTAACTTCCCAGTGGAATCTAAGTTTCCAGGAACCTCTTCACATAGTCCTGAAGGGACCTGCCAAACCTCCTCCCCACTGCCCAAGAGATTTTCAAGCATTTATAACACAGTTGCCCTCTGAGCTAGCATAGGACATAAAGGCCACAGCTAGTGAAGAGGACAACCCACAGGTAAGACTCCTCCATGAATCAACAGAGAAAAGGAAGGATAATGATGATTGTCAGAGAGAAAAATTAACACTTAGGTTGTGGTAACAGACTTCTGACTGGTCCCAGTCCTACTTGCACTCCTGTCACATGCTTCCTGTCTTTTATTTACAGTTATATTTTGTTATCATAGAAATAGGAGCCATGATATCAGAAGATCACACTATGAGATTTTTTTTTAAAAGACTAGCGAGTTTTGTATGAAACACAACTTGTAGGGTACTAAGAAGTGACAGAGAGAAGGAAAATAGAAACAGAAAAAAAATGAAAAGAGTTGTCCATGAATTAATTTGTATTCAGTGTTGGGAGCAGAGCTGCTGTGTAGGAGAATTTCAGAGTCAGGGGAGGGAAAGACATTCTAGGCAGTCTTTGTTAACCTCAACAATTCTGAACCTTTATTTGCATAGATTAGAATAAATGTGGTTAAAACTGATATTATTTCTAATGTTTCTGGTTTTCCATGACCAAAGATATTGAATCTGAAGCCAAATTCATCAGTCATGTCTGAGGTGACTAATACCACACAAGGTTCCTTCTACTTCATCCTCACGGGAATCCCTGGATTTGAGGCTTCCCACATCTGGATCTCCATCCCCTTTTTCTGCGTCTATACCATCTCTATCATAGGCAACGTCACTATCCTCTCAGTCATTCTCACAGAGTCATCTCTCCACCAGCCCATGTACCTTTTTCTATCGATGCTGGCTCTGACTGACCTGGGCCTTGTGCTTACCACCCTGCCCACAGTCATGCAGCTCCTCTGGTTCAACATTCAGGAAATCAGCTTTGAGGCCTGCTTTGTCCAATTCTTTTTCCTTCATGGATTCTCCTTTATGGAATCTTCAGTTCTGTTAGCCATGTCCTTTGACCGCTATGTGGCCATTTGTCGTCCACTCCATTATGCCTCCATCCTCACCAATGTGTTCATCGCTAAAATTGGGTTAGCCATCATTTGCCGCTGTGTCCTGGCTGTTCTTCCACCTCTTTTCCTGCTCAAGCGCCTGCCCTTCTGTCACTCCCACCTTCTGTCTCACTCCTACTGCCTCCACCAGGATATGATTCGCCTGGTCTGTGCTGACATCCGGGTCAACAGCTGGTATGGATTTGCTCTTGTCCTGTTCATTATTGTAATGGACCCTCTGCTCATTGTGCTTTCCTACACACTCATCCTCAAGAATGTCTTGGGCACAGCCATCTGGACAGAGCGATTCCATGCCCTCAATAACTGTCTGTCACACATTCTGGCTGTTCTGGTCCTTTATGTTCCCATGGTTGGTGTATCTATGACTCACCGCTTTGCCAAGCATGCCTCTCCACTGGTCCATGTAATCATGGCCAATATTTACCTTCTGGCGCCTCCTGTGATGAATCCCATCATTTACAGTGTAAAGACCAAGCAGATCCGCCAGGGAATCTTCCACCTCCTTTCTCCCAAAAATATGCACTTATCATGATGGAATAATTTTATTAAATTACTTGTGGATTCATAGCTTAAGGCGGAGATTATTGTTAAAGTTTGGAAAGGGGGACAGGAAATTAAGACACCATCACATTATTAAGGGAACATGACATGTCCATAGGTTTTAACAGGTTTTTGGGAAGAGATAGATATTAATTCTGAGCTAATGGAATACTAGCACATTTACAGCTATGTCAATGAGATAGACCTCATTGAGTAAAGTCTGCCTAAGCTTTGTCTTCCTTTTTGGAAATTCTGGCCTTGGTTAAATGAGTTAGAATCAAGTCTTTACTTCTTGCCTCACTATCTATCCTGTTAGGCAACTCAGCTCAGTTGTTGAGGTAATCTCTAGTCCCTTTATCCTTAATCACTCTCTGAAATTCCCTTGGAAAAGGACAGTAAAACTTTAAGCATTTTGAAAACACTTAATGCAGATTAAGTTTCTCAACAATTCAGATTTATGTAATTAATACCTATCATGATTTCATCAGAATAAAGGAAAATATGTAAATCCCAGTCCCACCAAAAAAATATCTAATAGCAACATATGCAAAGTATCAAGAATAAGCCACAGCCTTACTAGAGGTCCTCAGAATTTACAATTCAAACTTCAGTACAGTAATATTTGTATGGACAAAACTCACTTTTTTTGTGAGCAGAACAGGACCTCTAAATGAGAAAACAGCCATAAAATCATTAATATGATTCAACTTCTTATAGGTAGATTCCCCTGGGCATCATGGAGTTTGGACCAACAATGGTTCTAGAGAAGAGATGTAGTCTTAAGATTGATAGAAATTGTTTTGTAGAAAACAGGCTTTCTCAGAAATACCAGCCATAATTTTAACCAGAGTTTCAGATTACTGTAGTCAAGGTACAGTGAAGTAGTCAATATTAAGTCCAACTTAGATTTGAATTAAAATAGGCAGAGCTTCTGTGGAAGCACAGTAGGAGAGAGACTTGGAGGGGAATGGTAAATAGCAAGTGAGGAAGGGATGTCTTTTTCCTTCCACATTCTTGTCCCTTATTTTCTCTTTTCTTTCTTTTTTTAAACCACAGCCTAGAAGTTAGCATATTATGGTTATACCATTAACCAACTGGTATAGAGAAAAATTTTAGAAAGGGAGACATGCAATCTCAGAATAGAGAGCTTAGGACTAAGAAATCCAAATGTTGAAAAAAGTCAAAAAAATGGGTAGGAACACAAATCAAAGGAAATGATATACCATCTGGGGAAAACTTTTATTTCTTTTTCCTCAATAAATTTTTCATTTTCCTTGTTTGTATATGTATAAGTGTGTATATGTGTTTTATGAACTATATAGTTTAAGAAATGCCATGATGTGTTCAGATCTCAAAATAGATTTTCATTTGGGAAATTTTTGTCATTTGGAAATGTTTCTGCAAAAAACATTACTCAGTACATAGAACATAAATAACTATAAAAGTCATCTCTTATTAAATGAGTTTGTATTTCATAAGACTTAGAGGATGGTTCAAGAATGCCATGTTCTTTATATCTCATTGGCCCTCTCTAAAATACTTTGAATAAACTATATATGAGGACATAGATTGTATATTAATTTGAAGGGAGTGCTAAAATGGAACTGAATTCCACCTAAACACATAAGAAATTTTTTCAAATAAGGAATGTAAAAATAAAATTAAAAAATCAGATCAGCAAAGTTCTCCTTCATTATTCAAGTGAATAAATAAACTGGTACATCCATACAGTGCAGTAGCATTCAGCAATTAAAGAGGCATGAACTATCAAGCTATGAAAAGTCATGGATGGATTCTAAATACAGAATGCTAAGTGAAAGAAGAGTGTCTTTAAAAGATAAGAACCACAATATTATATTTATATAAAATTCTTGAAAAGGCAAAATGATAGTATATACTAATCGATTATAACCAAGATTATGGGGGATGTGGAGTGTTGAATAGTGAAATTATCGTATAACACTGTAATGGTACAAAATGACACTACACAGTTACCAAAATCCATAGAACATTACAGAAGCACAAAGTGGACTGTAATGCATGGAATTAAAAGCAAATAAATTTTTTTTATTTTATTATTCATATGTGCATACAAGGCTTGGGTCATTTCTCCCCTCTGCCCCCACCCCCTCCCTTACCACCCACACCGCCCCCTCTCTCTCCCCCCCACCCCCTCAATACCCAGCAGAAACTATTTTGCCCTTATTTCTAATTTTGTTGTAGAGAGAGAATAAGCATTAATAGGAAGGAACAAGGATTTTTGCTAGTTGAGATAAGGATAGCTATACAGGGAGTTGACTCACATTAATTTCCTGTGCGTGTGTGTTACCTTCTAGGTTAATTCTTTTTGATCTCACCTTTTCTCTAGTTCCTGGTCTCCTTTTCCTATTGGCCTCAGTTGCTTTTGAGGTGTCTGCTTTAGTTTCTCTGCCTTAAGGGCAACAAATGCTAGCTAGTTTTTTAGGTGTCTTACCTATCCTCACCCCTCCCTTGTGTGCTCTCGCTTTTATCATGTGCTCAAACTCCAATCCCATTGTTGTGTTTGCCCTTGATCTAATGTCCACATATGAGGGAGAACATACGATTTTTGGTCTTTTGGGCCAGGCTAACCTCACTCAGAATGAGGTTCTCCAATTCCATCCATTTACCAGCGAATGATAACATTTCGTTCTTCTTCATGGCTGCATAAAATTCCATTGTGTATAGATACCACATTTTCTTAATCCATTTGTTGGTGGTGGGGCATCTTAGCTGTTTCCATAACTTGGCTATTGTGAATAGTGCCGCAATAAACATGGATGTGCAGGTGCCTCTGGAGTAACCTGTGTCAGAGTCTTTTGGGTATATCCCCAAGAGTGGTATTGAAAAGCAAATAATTTAGGACATTACATTACATTAGGATCCCAGGATAGAATGCAGAATGTGACAAATAAAATCTAACTTCATTGCAATTACATGAAACAACCATGCTGAAAGAAGTGGAAAAACAAATCTTGTTGACTAAGTAACTTTGGAAATGAATGTATTCTAAAAGACTAGAGGCAGAAGGAATTATTATTGTACTGTATTTTTGTTTATCTTTTTTTGGGGGGGCTGTACTGGAGTTTGAACCTGAGGCCCTCAAGCTTGCCAGGCAGGCACTCTGCCATTTGAGTCACTACTCTAGCCCAGTGCTTCAGTTGTTAAAGCAATTTCTCTAAGGAATGTGGATGGACAATGCTACAATTGAGCTAAATGAATGACCGAAAGTGAAAACCAGTTTCTCACTGTTCATACAGTGGCAGGTTACAGACCCAAAAGGGGAAACATTTTGAATGATCTATGGATTGGAGTTGAAGAAATTAGTATGAAGTGATTTGAACTTCATACACATGACTATACAAGTAAAAGTAATTCTGCTAATAATGTTTTATCATATATCCACTCTTGATGTGGAAATCGGGAGAATCACTGTCCAAGGCTAACCCAAGAAAAAAGTATGAGACCCTATCTGAAAAATAAAGTAAGAATGGCTACGAACTTAGCTCAAATGATAGAGCATCTGCCTAGCAAGCATGAGACCCTGAGTTCAAACTCCCACACTGAAAACAAAAAAAATAAAAACTAGAAAGACTTCTGGGGATATAGCTCAGTGGTAGAGTATCAGTCTAGCATGAACAAGGCCCTAGACTTGTCGATCACCAGCATTGCAAAAACTAAAAGGAAATATTTTACCTTCTTCAAGAAATTACTGCGACAATAATTCTTAAGCCTTTAGATTCATTTTCCATAACAAATCCAAAAGTGTACATGTTTATTTATCCACTCTTCAGATTTAATAGATGCTCAAAAATATAGGCTGAATAAATGAAAAAAGTAGATCAATAAAATACCCTGGGTACCATTCTGAAAGAAATCATCTTCCCTAATATTTGAATTAAGACTTGAGGTTTTTTTCCAAGGTTTCGTCTTGGCTTTGCATAAGCTGTCACTGGTGGGCATCTAATCCAGTATTCTTCAAACTGATTACATTTGCTATCCTTGGAGCAAAGAGGAGACATTTTTAAAAGTGCCTGAGCACAGACACATTTAAGAGAACTTACATTTACATATTCAATGTCCTTACCTTTTCTTTACTTAAAATTATTTTGTCCAAGAATGTATCTAGTTTAACTGTATCCTGTTACACCATTTTTCCTTCCTTTCCACAATCACACTTCTCTCACAGAAAGAAGAGCAGGAAAATAGAGAATAAGACAATAAAAGATAGATGGAGAGAAGAGGAGAGGAGAGGAAAAAAGAAGAGTAGGAAAGGAAGACAAGGGAAGGTACAGGAGAAGAGAGGAGAGAGAAAAGACATAGCTCTCAAAAATGTCTTGACTCTTTCCATGATGCATTACCCCAACATATAAATATTTCTGAGGTATCAAACAAAGGAACTATTGGAAATATTGGTTTAGATTTTGATGAAATAAGTGAGACTGATGACTGGGTAAAATATCTCAATATAAGACAAATAAGATGGATTGTATTCCTTTCAACAGAAGTGTGCAAGAATCTACTAAAACTGTCGCTTATTAAGTAACCAAAATGTTTTTGAATACAAATAATCATGTGTAATTTTTAATTAAATTTCAGAAATATCCAATAAACAATGGTTCTGGACAATGGTAAAACAATGCTGATATTGTTACTGGGAAGTTTAGTTTGGTTCTTGAGTCTAGTGAGAGAATTCAGTCAAGATAGGAAAATATAGTGGAAATGATAATAAAGTTTATTAAGAAAGGAATTTAGTATAATATGATAAAAGTGGTGCTCCTCATCTCTTAGTCTTATACTTTCCAAGCTTGGGGGAAAACAAGTCATGTCTAGCAACTTCTAATCATTAAGATAATGGATCTAGGTGGCTAAGATGGGTGCTAAAACAGGGAGATGTCATCCAGGTCTACCCAAAACACAAGGACAATCAGTATGCTTTAGAACTTCCCTTTTGGAGGACAAGACTTTCCCTCTGCCCATTCAAAGAGCCTTGTAGTTTGTTAACAAAGAGGAAAGCAGATGTATATGGCCCCTTTATGTCTCTCTGTTCTTGTAACTTAAGTCTAAGAAGAAGGCGGGGGGTTAGCCACAATGGCTTTTCAGTTTTTACTTTCTGGTTTAAATGTCTGAATCTGGCCCTTTTAATATTGATTTAAAATAATACCATTTCCCTGTCTCCTTGTCTATCTATCCTCCTCCACCCATCACTTATGACTATTTGCTACCTAATAATATCATCTTATTTATGTTATCAAACTTCATTATTAACACAATGAAGAGAAAGTAAAATGGAAAAAAATTCATACAAATAACATTTTATTTATAGATATAAGAACAAAGCTCAGGGATCTCAATAAAAGAATAGCTTCTAATCAAATTTTACTTTACATGTATAGGAAATTTTTATTATCCTGTCTTGTTTTATGAATTATACACTATATACTGGAAAATAGATTTTTAAGCAATGCTTTAAGCTAACTGTTTTTTAAACATCAAGTTTAAATGTATATACATTTTTCACAAAGATATGGTAATGATAGGGTAATCATTAAAATAATTTCAAACAAAAACACATTTTATGCTCAAAACTCTTTGGTGGAGGTAAAATAAAATTTGAAGTAGTGGAAATAAAGTTACTTATGACAATATATGACTTTTAAAGATGTGTTCATTATTCCTAAATTCATGACACTATGTTTCAAAACATTGTATATTTAGATTCTGTTGGATATTTTTATATAACTATTTTAAATTGGCCGTAATTATAATATAATTAAAATTGAGTGCTCAACACTACATAAATTTATTGCAATATTTTAGATATTAACCTGAAAATACTTGAGAAGGCATATAGAGTTTTTGTTCTTATTTTATTTTGGCAGTTCTAAGGCTTGAACTTATGGTCTCATGCTTGCTAGGCAAGCACTCCACCATGTTCTTTATTTTTAAGAGTACACACACAAAAATATGATGACCACTGTCTCAAACAAAGTGCTTCAAAAATATCACTACCTACAGGTGACTCTAGTGAGGTAAATGAGTGGGATATAATAACATGTGGTGAGGAAAACATTCTCACTATAATTTGAGGCCCTGAAGTGAGTCTGAAAATTGATGCTAATTACTGGTCAAGCTGCCCAGTCCTAATAATTCACTCTACGTAAAAGCTTTGCTCTTTTCAAGATGAGAACAAAGTGCTTTAAGTGTTTTGACCAAGGTTTCCAGGAAACCATAAGCAGAAGAAGGTAGGACCAACTAGACCTATGGGGTTGAGGGAGAGGAGGGGTCAAGAACAGAATAGAGTATACTCCATGCATCATATGGCATGGAGAGTGACTCAAGTGGTATAGTGCCTGCCTAGCAAGCAGAAAGTCCTGAGTTTAAACCCTAGTACCACAAAATAAACAAATAAAAAGCAAATGAAAATGGCATGAGAAGGCTAGTGAAGAGAAGAAGATATATAGAAAGGAGAAGGTAGGTAATCCAGGCACAGTGATACCTGACTTGCTTGACAATAGGTATTTAACAGACATTTACAGTCTACAAAAGAAAAACTTGTTGCTTTTGCTGAGATTCTTAGCATCTGTAACCATGCATTGTGAGATTGCCCATGTTTTTTATTTCATGACTCAGTTGAGGCCATTTAGTCAGCTGTATATCCGCAGTCATGTAGCACATAAATTTGGATTTGGAGACCATTGCATGTTGGCTTTTAAGAAGAATCCAATGCCTTATATAATTGGGGGTTGTTTTGTAGGTAGGTTTATCACACAACTTTTTATTTAAACAAGGACCATTTGAGAGTGAAAAGGAACACTATTATAAGCATGCTGAGGAAAACACATGTACACCATGAATATCCAGGGCAAAGTAAAAGTATGCTCACTTTACTCAAAGGCAAATTTCCAATGTGAGCTTTCCTTATTGGGAGGGGATACACTTAATCCCTAGCTACTCCATAACAATGAAAGCTTGCTTTACTTCAATTCAAATATCATTAAATCTCAAGCCTTTAATATTTTTGCATATTTTATTAGCATATTATAGTTGTGCCAGGAGCACATTGTGATATTTGTGTTAGTGCTTACAATATATCCATCTTTCTCCTTTCTACCTCCTCCCTCTATTCTTACAATTTCAATAGGTTTTATTGTTCTATTTTCATACATGAATACAAAATTCCACCATATTTATCTTCCTTTACCCTTCATTTATGTCCTCCCATTAGTACCCACCCTTAGACATAACAGTTTTACCTTCCTGACCTTAATTTATTCAGAAAGAACATTTTTGTTTGTTTGTGTTAGTTACGCAGGGGGTTTCATTGTGACATTTCCATAAATACATGTATTATACCCCAAACTGGTTCATCTCCTCCGTTATTCTCCTTCCTAGTCCATTCCCTTTCTTATGGTGACTTCAGCAGGTCTCAGTGATCCATATTCAAAATTGTGTAGAAAGTACATCAACCATATTCAACCTCTTTAATATTAACTTCTATATTTTAGACATTTTGCTAGGAGTTTTGAGGGAATGAAAAAATGGTTTCTACTTTCAAGTTATCATATCTGGTTGAAGAATAAAGGAATGCACATAACTTTTGTGATTCAGACTGAAGCTTGGGACAATGTCTTTTGTTCTCCTTCCATTCCTCCTCAAAATTTCTAGTATAGTGCATTGCTCATAACAGAAGCATGATCAGAGTTTATGTACTGAATTTTTGTGTCTGTTCCCTTGACTGATTTAGATCAATTCTTTCTTGCAGAACAAGGTGGCAATTCCCTGCTGTATTGACTGAGTCTTAACACTGTAGATGATGGGATTGAGCACTGGTGGTACAAAAAGGTAGAGGCTAGACATGAGTGTATGAACCATGGGTGAAGCATGCTTGGCAACACGGTGCATCACAGATACACTAATCATAGGTACATAGTACACAAGCACTGCACAAATGTGTGATGCACATGTGTTGAGAGCCTTCCTCCTTCCCTCCCCAGAAGCAATGCCCAGCACTGTGTAAAGATTTAGTACATAAGAGACCACAATAAGCAGTGAGTCCAGACCAAAAGTGGACAGGACAATGGCCAAACCCAGGATGCTGTTGAGCTTAGTATCTGCACAAGGCAGCTGGATCAGATCTCAGTGGAGGCAGTAGGAGTGGGAAAGAATGTTTATGTGACAATAGGGTAATTGCTTCAACAGAACTGGAAGTGAGGTCATGAGTGCCACACTTTTCAGCATAATGCCGAGACACATGGAGATGATACATGGCAAGGTAAGGATGGCTGTGTAGCGCAGTGGGTTGTAAATGGCTACAAAGCGGTCATAACTCATGGCCAACAGGACCCCTGACTCCATGCAAGAGAAAGTGTGAATGAAGAACATCTGAGCCAAACATCCATCAAAGTCAACCTTGCGGGCATCAAACCAAAGAATACCCATAACAGTAGGCAGTGTAGACACAGAGACACCCACCTCAGTGATAGCCAACATGGAGAGGAACAGGTACATGGGCTCATGTAGGGCTGAATCTGCCTGTACTGCTGCCATGATTAGGCTGTTGCCTACAATGGCCACAATGTACATGGTGAAGAAGGGGATAGAGAGCCATCCATGTTGGGCCTCCAGTCCTGGGATACCAGTCAGGAAGACAGAGAGTAGTTCAAGACTTTCATTGTTCTCAACTCCCATGGCACCAACAAAACAGACCAGTCTTTACCTGCCATTTGAGAATAAAAACTAAAGTTAGCTCACACCTATTGACTTTTCTACCTTAACATCCCACCTAAAGGCTGAGGAATGGAGATTGGTGAAGGGGGAGAGTTAGAGTAACAGATAATTGCATCTTTCCTTCTGTTCTCCTAAGTTCCAGAATCCTAACATGTTGCATGTAAAAGAGATATTTTAGATTGCCCAATCTTAAGAAAGATATCATAAGAAAACTCAGAGCAGAAACTTTAGAATAAATCTGATATTGGTCAAAATATATATAGTTATTAGATTGGAGCAATTTATTTATACCCTGATCCCAAGTTTTGTTTTATTTATTTTGCTTTTTCACTTGCAAAAGGTAATGATACTACTCTCTTATTTTAATAAGAAAGAAAAATGAGAAAATTAATATACAGTCAGTATTTAAGATTTTAATTTCACTGTGGAGATGAGAGTACAGCCTGGTCTGAGGTAGCTTGGAGGTATCAGAAGAGTTGAGTTTTACTCAGCCAATGTGAATCTAAGAAGACAAGAACATCTGAGAAAGTAGTAGTCTCCATGGGTCCCCACTCCATCCCAAGGAGGAGCAATGTTTTGAATGAAAATGACTGTGGCTTTAGAAAGCTGCAAAAGAGAGAAATACAAATGATTATGTAAATTAGTGCTCTGGGCTAAAATAATGCTAATATACAAGTGACCTCTGAATGTAAAAACAGAATTCAGAAAGGCTATCCAAAATACAATGTTTCTAAATGATCAGATTTGCCCTAAAATCACTGGAGATATCAAAGAGGCAGCAATAAAGCACCCCATTACTGCCAAGAGATCAGGGAGAAATGGATAAACTCCAAACAAGAGTTAAAACTAATATAAAATTTAAAGTAATACTATGCAGCATAACATCAAATGTAATGTGACATAATGAATGTAATAATGTAATAAACTAAATTTGTAAAATAAAATTAAAAATCAGTAAGAGGGTCGGGGTAGGCACAATTGATATGAAAGCTAAAGTCATTCCAATTATCAGTTCATTCATTCACTCAATAGACTGGATGTGCAAATCACTTAGTCTGCATCAGTTTTTATCCTGTTACTCTGCACTATTGATGTGAAATGGTTCATACAGCTGAAGAGTTTTGGAATGAATAAGCAGGGGAATGTATAGGCAAGGGCTATGACTTTGGAGAAGGAGCCATTCAACCATAAGAATGGCCAAAGTGCCTACATTGTTACTGTCTTCACTTTTCATGCACAGCTCTGCTGAAGCCCTGTTCACTGCATCTCTGTGTTTTTCTAAGAAATATCAACATCTCTGGTGAAATGTGTTTTTTGTGCTCCATATTTATAAATTTCTCCTGATTCTAATCTTATAAATCACTGATTCTCAATCTTGGCTATATACACATTACAATCTTCTGGTAGAATTGAAAAATCCTATTGCCAGGACAACACTCATACCAATTAAATTAGAATCTTTGGAGGTAGTACTCAAGTACAAATATGTTTTAAATTTCCTGAAGTGAATGTAGTATTGAGAATCTCTCCAGACTCATAACATTAGAGTCACTTTACAGTGACAATCTTTTGTACTGAAAAGAAACTGGCTAACACGCCCCAAGTTTCCACCACTCTTTTATTACAAAAAACTTTCCCACCTCACTCTGGACTGCAGTTTCACATTTTCTTGTGGTTCATTATCTGCTGAACTCCTCAGCATCCTGGGTCTCTTGTAAAGAAGCTTGAATTTTTTCAAATGATTCCTATAGGTGTAGCCTACATTTGTGGCTACTTCTGCACTTCCCAGGAGGTCCAATCAGACTAGAGTCTAAAGTTGCACTTACTATATTTCTAAAATTGAGAGAAAAGTATTCCCTTTTAATTTTAATTCCCATAAGCCTAAATGCCTAGACATAGCTATTGTGACCCCTTTACATAAATCCATTTTGAATGTTTTCTGAGGCTATGACAAATTGTTTTAAAGTTATCCTCTGGCTACATTACTAACACCTTTATCATTCCTAGGACAGACTGCTGATTTAAAAATGGAGCATTCCATTTGCATTTATTTCTTTCCCCTTCCAGAAAAAAAATATTTTTTTTGATACTGCTTGTACCAGCCAGGAAAATGCTCCAAATACACTATTCTGCTTTCTTGCACTGAGAAACTTATTTTCATCCATTATTCACTCATAGCTTCCATCAGCCAAACTTGCTTTAATATGGTTTTGGAACTGAAAGCTAATTCTGTGCTGGTGCATATTGAGATTTTTTTTTTAATACTCAGCAGATTACCTTCCTTTACATTGTTATCTTAAAAAGATTGTGTGTTGTTTTTGCCCAGTGTATGATAGTTCTGATGGTATTTTATCTTTTATTGGTGAACATATCTTTATTAAGAGATTTTGAAACTTGAGGAATAAGTTTTCTTCATAACATATTAAAAAGTACAATATATTCATAAGTGAAATACCATGATGAAACCCCTTTGAATAATAAATATACTCTTCAAAAGACTGAAATGTAAAACAGGTCCAGTTTGGGGACAGTTATTAGATGGATGAAGGAGAGTAAGAGGAGAGGGTGAAAGATGGGGCATATGGTTGATGTACTTTATAAACTTGTATGAAAATAGAATAATAAAACCTACTGAAATTATTTTAAGTAGGGGTAATGGGGTGAGGAAATGCTGGTGGTACATACATATGGTATATGACAATGAAACCCCCTCACAAAACTAATAGATGCTAACAAAAATGATAACAAATCATAAAATGTAGAAAAACATTACATTTATGTCTCTGTCCTCCCTGTTGGTTTATGATCTCTGTTGAAGTCAGACTTATGCCTGATTCACCTTACCTCCAGAGCATTTCTCATGGTTATGACAGAAAAATGTGTTCACAAAAAACTCAAAGCATAGCCCTGTCTTGTCTGAAAGCGACTGGGAGACCACAAGGGCATTTGAATGATTCTTTCTTTTTCTATGGAAAAGCTACATAAAAGGAGGTTTTTTTGACTTAAATTTCTCTGTCAGGGGTTAAACAAATTGTGGCAACTATTCAGAAACAGGTATTGATAGAAAGTCACTCAAAAATATAGAAATATAGTTGGTCACCAGTGGCTCTTGCCTATAATACTAGCTACTTAGGAGACTGATATCAGGATGATCAAGGTTTGAATCCACCCCAGGCAAATAGTTTGCAAGACCCCATCTCCAAAACAACCAGACCAGAAATGAACTGGAAGCACGGCTCAAGCCTCAAACTCAAACTTGAGGAGAAGTCCTGAGTTCAAACCTCAGTTCCACCAAAGAAAAAAACATAAACATAGTAAGAGAGACTGAGAAACTCAGACAGAAGGACAAGAAGAATGAGTCACAGAAACACACTTGTTACACACTTACCTAGAAAACACAGATTTAATCTCACGAGAGATTTCTTGAAGTGACACAGATAGAATCTTGTGTTTTTGCCCAGTCTATCCTAGGGCTTCCAAGTAGCTCAAGCTGTTGAAGAATGGTGGCTTATTTCATGGCTTGTGTCTAGTGTATATTTTAACATGTTAGACAAAGTACATTGTGTTGTTGTAGTTTTCTGGAACACTCAATACTTTGGAAGTTGTTTTTTAGATCTTCAATAAATTTTTTCTTTGAATTACAAAAATTCATATCTTTTGTATCAGACTCTACCAAACCAGCACATTAGTATTTTATTCAGTGGGGCTTAGGTGAGTTAGCTGTGGCTTCTCCTTAAAATTGTTTAATGCTGTCCTTCAAATCATTTTTTTCTCCCATTACGGCTGGTGAAACTGTGAGTATGAGTGTGTGTGTGTGTGTGTGTGTGTGTGTGTGTGTGTGTGTGTGTATGATGTGCCGGTATAACCATGGTATTTCATCTTGAGTAGGAATCTTGAATTATGCGATAATTTTATTATGTGGCAAGTGGCATAATTTCTCTGAATCTAAGACTGTTAATCTATAAAATAGATAAAAATCCTAACTTACAGATTTCTATGAAAATTAAAGAATGCATATGAAGATTCTGTAAGTTTATGGCATAGAGTACATGCTCAATAAATGGTGACTGCTTTCAGTATGCTATATTTCTGATTCTTTTTGAAATAGGATTTTGCTGCTTTGTCCAAGATGACCTCAAACTGCTGATCCTCCTTCAGCCTCTGATGTAGCTGGCATTACAGTTAAAGCAGTTATACAAGACTATACATAATAGCTGGAATAAGGTTGAATAAGTCAAATATTGAATGTCTGGGAATAATAAACTTTAATTTTTTTCTTATAGATACTTATTATCATATACTAATTAGTTCTGTGAAGACAAACCTATATTTTTTCACTTCCAAGTAATGAGATGTATTCTTGCTTCCATACTCATTCCTCACCCTATTATACACACTTATGCACACGCCAATACACATAAACACAGGCACTATAAGCAGACATTAACAAAAGCCTGTAGAGGAGCTAAATACTGTCCCCCTCTATAAACTTCAAATCAGTTTGACAATTAAATACTAAAAAGGTAAAAGGAGATTTTTTTCTCCTTTGTTATTGTGCTGTGATGGTACATTGTGGCATTTACAAAATTACAACACATCAAATAGATGATATTTGATTCACCCCTCCACCAGTCTCTTTTATCTTTCCCTCCCCCCATTGCTGAAACAGTTTTAACAGGTATCATTTTTACTTTTATATACATGTATACATTTTTTGCACTGTATTCATCCTCCTGCTCCCTTTTCCTATCACTTCCCCTTTCCCACTGATACCAACTCTCCCTGTTGAACAAAACCTGTTCTGCCCTCTTGTTGTCCTGTTTTGCAGAAGAAAAAAATTACATTTTTGCTTTTGTGATATAAAGGTAGCTACACAGAGATTTTCTTTGTGATATTCCATATACATGTGTATTATAACCTCAATTGGTTTAATCTTCTTTAATTTTCTTCATTTTATCTTA